CCAAAGGCAATAAAGCCACTAGGATGCAAGGGGTTACTGAGTGTTAGAGAATATGAGCAAAACTACTATTAATGAGAGAGGACAATAAAAGAACTGGAATTAAGAAGACAGAAGACAATGATTGACATTGCATTTAAATTTTTGAAGATCAAAGGCATACCTATGCTATTTGGACGGCTAGGATCCAAGGGGGTTACTGCGTCTTAGAGAATATGAGAAAAACGACCATTAAACAAAGAAGCCGGCAGAGTGTACGATAAGCGAGAAGTGCGATAGAAGAAACTATTAGCATAAAACTTACGGTTCCATCTTGCCATTTTAACTGTAAAATGATGAGACCTAGCCGCCAATCTAGCACTGCGCTTAAATTCATAAAGTCTATGTACCAAAGAAGTAAATAATATTTCTTTTGTAAAGGTACAAAAAATGTAACATAAGGACACGAATGGGTGGGGGATGTGTAAGGCTGTTCTTCTTCTGTCTTATAATTAATCTTAGCTGGCCACAGTTATTGCCCAAATATACAACAACATTCCTTTGACTAAAACAACACATTCTTTCTTACCATTCTTACTACATCCACCATAATACCGCAAAGTCTCATCAGAACAATTTCACAATTTCCATGAAAATATTTATGGAAAAGTCACAGTGAAACCAGATTACGTCGGCGAGAATTTGATTGAAACCTAAGTACCAGGATGCCAACGAAGACTCGTTGCCACATTTATGTTGCCAACGAATACTCGTTGACAATTCCGTAAGGATCTTTATAGCAGAGACTTTGTAATCGCAGATACAACTTATAGTAACGTCGTTGAACAACACTGGTGTCAGACACATCTGAATATCATTCGTACTAATAGTACTTATTCGATAATACTCGCTTGAAAAGTAACCACCGCATTGTTCCAAACAGAGAAATATTATAGTGACCAGAGCAGAGAGGTCCTTATAGTAATAGAGGATAGATAATATAGATGAATAGAGCCGTCGCTTAGACATCACGCTACATTCTGCTAATAGGTAACTCCACGAAATCGCTAAAATAATTTGCATAGCATGATGAAAAAGACGCCAAACTTAACGAAAACAAAATTTTATCGTCTAAATGTTCATGTTATTATTAAGAGGAAAGACCAAAGTTTGGGTTTTTTTTTTAATTATTTTTTAAAAATTTTTCTTTCTTTTTAGAACATTCTGAATTTTGATTTTAAAAAAAATTGTTTCTCTTTGTATCACCGGAACTAGTAAAATAACATAGACAATTTTTAGCACGTTTGTGTTTTTTTTTTTTTTTTTTTTTTTTTTGTATGACACATTAATTTGGAAAATCGTGCAAAAATAAAAAATAATTGTCGGATGTTAATGAAACTTTCAGAAACTATTCACAGATGATTGAAATTATTATAAATATGTTTTCTTTTATTAAAGTCATGGCAGAAATATTTTTTTTTATATTTATTACCCCCCCCCATAACTAATTTTATGAAAACGCTAGAAATTCGATCGCATCAGGTTTAGTGATTACAATATTGTAATCACTAAACCTGATGCACAAAGCTTTGATGAATGCAAATCATGTTTTTTTTGTTTTTAATTGGACCCCCCTCCCTGAAAATCAGCTCTGGATTGTAACATACAAAACTCAATAAAACAAAGATATTATTTAATTTCAAATGCTTTTATTTGCTTTTAATTGTTTTTATGAATATGGACAATATTTTCTAAAAGCAAAAAATTTTTCAATGAAAAATGAATTTTTAATGCAATTATTTGTTATTTCTTTAATTATAATAGATTTTTACATTAAGTTGTTAAAATATTATAAAATTAGTTAAAAGCCGCATCACGTTTCCTAAGTGTCCTTATGAGATAGATCTTTTTTAGAGCGTTGTAAATTGTATCGTTTTGACTAATCAGAAGATCCGCAGTAATTAAGAAATGTAATTTTGTGTTCATAAAAATCGTTAAAATGGTTGTAATTAAAAAGTATGGAAGGTCACAAGCAATAAATCGTTACGTGGCTTGAGTGTAAGCGTTCTCCGCTGAACGTCGCTTACATTATTGCAAATTCTTCATGCGAAACACATGTTGAGCATTTTGAATTAGCGTTTTTTACTCATTAAAAAAAATTGAACATCATCCTAAGCCATTTTCACCATCAACATTACTACATTTTTAAAAGTACCATTTATTTCATTTACATATTTCATTGCAATTTCAATTTCAATTTCAATTTCTTGAAGTTGTTTTACCGTTTTCACTTTTCAGTGTGTCGTCTTTATTTCAATTTTATGTGAATTTCTTATTTCAAACAAACTGTTTTCGGTTCTATCTTTAAGTGTTGGTGTCATCACCCTTCAAACAAAAATACATGAAGCCATTGTTCAAACATAGATTTTAAAAAAAGGGATTTTTTACAAGGTGATGACAGCTTGGTATTGTCGACTAGCTGGCCTTTGACCCAGCGATGTCAAAGTCAATTTTGGTTTAATTTCAACATTTTTTCCTTATCGCTGATTTAAAAAAAAAAAAGAATTAAAAATAAAAAAAACATAAAAAAATCTTGTTTTCCAGTGTTCAGGAATAGCAATTTTAACAATTTTTTCATATTTTAGCCCCAGAAAAATTTTTTATAATCATTTACACCAACCAATTTCACTTAGAAATGAAAGAGCATTCTTTGCTTTCAGGAAATAACTAGTTTCATTGGGTGCAGATCAAAAGTTTCCTTGATGTTTTGTTCAGATGATGACAAAAGTCATTTTTCAATTTTTTTTTTTTTGCCTTCAAATTGGTTGTAGTGTAAGAAAATAACTTTTGATAAGTTTGTGATGATTTTTACTTGTGATAGAAATGTTTTATCATAGCAGATCGGTATTGATATTAGGGCGCTATAGTTGCCCTCAAAAATCTGTGCAGTACTTGTATTGTATTTACATTATTCGGACTATTGTCCTCATCTTTGTCTGCATCGGTGTAGGATTTCTCAATTTGTCTCCATGTTTGGTATAAATGGTCCGTACCGATCCTTCAGAGTCTGTCTATATTTCTGAGATGATTTCTGCCTGTCTTATGTGAAGGGGTTATCAGAGAAAATAGTTGCTGAAGACATTAGGTTTATAATACCGAGAAATTGATACCCAAATGTCACATGGCACAGTGGATAAAGGCATTGGTTAGATCCAGTGACAGACCCAAAGAGTGTGAGTTCAATACCCGGTTAAGGCAGTGGAGAACTTTCAGAGGAAAAATTAGCAGGAGATAACTGATTACTGACATCCATCAAACATGTCACGTGGAACTAGAACAGTCTATCCCAGTGATCGAAATAAAGGGTTTTTTTCGAAATTCCAACCACCTGATTAAGGCCGGAGCGTACAACGGTCGAAACGTTGTGATAAATATGGCGACAAAGATGAGGATAATAGTCCGAATAATGTAAATACTGTGCATAATACATATTCATCTCAGAAATATAGACAGAGCACTTGGATTTTAATTTATTTATAGTATTTATAATTTCTACAGATAGTATTAACAAACTTATGGTGTAAACTACATTAATAAAAAAACAAAACTAATGAAATTGGAATGCTGAAATTTTTTTTTTTTTACTTTAATAATTACGAGGTACTACATAAGCTGGTTCACGTAAAAAAAAACGTTACATCAATTATGTCCTTCCGTATGATAACTCGAATCTCACGTTAGCTGTCGATATGTGATAAGTCATCATTCATCACTTGTCAATAACCAACGTTGTTAAGATCGCCTCCTTTTTTTTAAACAACATTTTTCTTCGAAGAATGTAAGTAAAAGTTTCTTTCAAAATATATTAAATGATCTTTAAATTTGTTAATTTTCGTCAAATAAATTTTGAAAAACGTATAATTGATTTTTGGACGAATTTTAAACTAGGATTTTAACTTACTTTACAAAATTTTTAAAAAATGGCTGATATCGAGTTTTTTTAGTAATGTCGCTGACAAAAAAAAAGATTTTTAACTAAAATTTTGGAGATGCTAAGACTGAGTAAAAAATTTTTTTTAAAAATCCAAAAATACTTTGGTATTTCTTCTTAATAATGATATATATACTTAAGCAGGTAAAAAAATTTTTCATAAAATTTAAGGCCGTCCATATCTTGCTATGCTCTTTTTATTGATTTTCATGGAGGTACCTATGTTTACTATGTTCACGTGACCTACTTAATTCAATAATGGGATCGCCTGTCTTTGCTCACTGGCGATCTAGGTTCAAACTCAAATGTCAGCAGCGACACTTTATTCCTATATAACACTAGGTCAGAAACAATAACATTGCAAATTCTTCTGACTTGCCAAATTTTGTTATTCCAGATTGAAGAAAGCGACTGTTAGAGCTCTTTAGACACACCCTACTAAACACTGCTTGTCCCAGTTGACTAGTTTGCCGAAAGCAATCGGTAAGTGAAGACAATTTGGAAAGTCGATATGAAATACAATTGTATGTCTAACAGGGATGGGTATCGCCACTGTCCATCAATGTCTCTGAAGAGTAACCCTTGCTCCCTGTGAGATTCGGTTGTTTACATTGGGGAAGTGCCATTCATTTCCATGGGAAATTCCTGAAGTAGAACGCTACAATTGAATTCAAGTCAGGGAATCCAACTTTGAACGAGTTTTGGACTTCTTTGGTATTAATGTAATGGGACTTCAGATAAAGTTTCAAAACTCCTTAGCCTCTTCATTTATATGTAAGTATGCATGGATGTATGTATGCATCTATCTAGGTCGGGCTTGACAAGGCATATAAAAAAAAACACATTGGAAGTGATGATGTTCAAAGTCAACTTCCACCACCCGTCGATGATTTGACATGCCATATATATACAAGAAATGCAGATGGATGATTCGCTTTAGAAGCCACTGTCGTTCACAACAAATGAATGCAGTGTTGTGGGGGAGTTTAACTGATGGACTGGACATGTCAGTGATGGTCATACTAGTTTTGAGAGTCGACAACCACTATACAATCTATCTATCTATCTATCTATCTATCTATCTAATTGATTCCGTGTATGTATATATGAATGTATCTACTATCTGAGTCCTTCATATCTATCTATCGTAGTCTCTCCATATCTATCTATGTTCATATCTATCTTAGTCTCTTCTTATCTATCTTTGTTCATATCTATCTATGTATCTATCTATCTATTTTATCGCTAAATATCTATCTTTCTATCTGTCTATCTTAGTCTCTTCATATCTATCTTTGTTCATATCTATCTATCTATTTATCTATCTATATTAGTCTCTTCATATCTATCTATGTTCATATCTATCTTTGTCTCTTCTTATCTATCTTTGTTCATATCTATCTATCTATCTATCTATCTATCTATCTTATCTTTTCATATCTATCTTTGTTCCTGTCTCTCTCTCTCTCTCTATATATATATATATATATATATATATATATATATATATATATATCTTTATTCATATCTACCTCTGTTCACATCTATCTATCTATCTATCTATCTATCTATCTATCTTAGTCTCTTCATCCTATCTTTCTATCTATCTATCTATATTAGTCTCTTCATATCTATTTTTTTCATTATCTATCTATCTATCTATCTATCTATCTATCTATCTATCTATGTGTAAGACTTGAGTGGGGTCATATTTCCCAGACAGCGGACGGTCTCCATATACCACCGGCCCGGCCTGGCCCGACCCCAGAGATTTCACTCTAGTCTCAACATCAAAGGGGTGAAGTTTGACAAAACAAGGATCCACATTTATCTCGCTAGTCAAATGGTTACCTAGCATTTATCCAAAAATTAAATCTCCTCCTTTTTCAATGACTGCAGACCAGCGGCAATAGCAAACATGCGATTACACACTTAAAGAAATCTTGCTTTTTTTTCTCCTTTTTTTTTTTTCAGGATGTTTTACCCCTTTTTTTTTCCTAGATGTTTTATCCCCTTTGAATTATTGTGTTTTTCGTTTTCTGTTTACATGCAAAGCCCATTTTAATGTCATGCAGAAATGTAATACAAAATATGAAAGATTCTAAGAGATTCATGTAGATGACATTACTGGTTAAAAGGCAGCCGCCGGCCCAATGACAAGAAGAGTCATCTCAATCGGAACCTCATGAGAAAATTCCCTTATCGTAAATTCCCTTGGGATGTTCATGGAAAGTTGAACATGACATTTTTGCGCCAGATCTCTATTGCTTTCAAGTGGATCCAATTCAGTCATCTCTTTCAAACTTTCTTCATTCGGAATATGTCGTCTTCCAGAACGTGGCTTTTAGGATATATCACAATCGCCATTTTTCAACCTTACAAATCCCAACTGACATGCACGAGTCTTCATAGTGCTGTATACACAGCACAAATGTTTTAAAATATCTCTGCAGGTATTTACTAATCTCCCCAAATTTTGAGACTAGCCAATATCTAAAGAAAAGGTATATTTTCTTTGTTGATCCGACAGGTTTTACTTACTTGGACGTTATTTTTAGTGGATACTCTTATTTGAATAGACGCCTAGTGAAATCTAATGACGGTTGTCCCTGGGGAAAATCAGGTTCGAATGCTGCCTGTGAGCGCATAGTTTTCTTTAATAAGGTTTCTCAAATATTCAGGACATTAAACGAAAATAAATAAATATACTGTTTAATAAATAAACGGAGCGTCTACGAGTATCCACTAAAACTAACGGATTAATAAATAAAAATTCCATCCCTTTCTTTAGAAATTTCTTTGTTTACATTAGAAAACGAAACTTACCAGATATATCCATTTCGAGATTCAGTGAATGTCTGTGTTTAAAGGCACTATTCAGCTTTGCTTGACCATGGACACTCTCCATGGCTAAAGCACGTCAGATCTAATGACGACTTAGCCTAGGCGAACGCGGGTTCGAATTATCTAATAAAATTTCTCTAACATTTAGGCCGGTAGATGAAAATAAATAACCGTTTCAAAAATAAATGGAACATCTACTCAAATACGAATATCCTGTAAAAATACAGATTAAGTAGATAATATTGAAGATTTTGTTTTTGAAAGTTATGATCCCCAATGAGATTTAACTCAAACAGAATTATAAAGCTCTGTTTTTTTAACCTTTTTTTCTTTGTTGTCTATTTTGGGTGTCAAAAAGATTTCCGACCCACAGAAGCACAAACTGAAATTCCATGTAACCGAAAATAAATTTATTTACAAAAGCAAAATGTACTAAAATATATAAATCTAGACTAATGACTTCACCACCTCAAGGGGGGGGTCTGAACTTTGCAACTCAGCTTCGGTCACTCCCCCAAGGCCGTAACGTTGACTTTTTTTCAATTCCTCACTTAACGACCCACATATTTAACGAACCGACGAGCCATTCTCAGGTTCGGTCACATTCGTCACCGCCATAATGTTCTATTTCTTTGCCTTTCCTCAATTAACCAGTCACATATTTAACAAACTAACCTGGTATCTCAATTACCATAGCTTTCCCACTTTGCTTTTCTTTGCTTTTCTCACTTAACGACCCACATATTTAACAATGTCACAGGGATCTCTGCTACGGTCACTTCCCCATCGCAGTAATGTTGCTTTTCTTTGCTTTTCTCACTTAACGACTGTCATATTTAACAACTTGACCAAACATGTCACCGTCTGCCAGTTCCCCATCGCTGTAATGTTCCTTTTCTTTACATTTCTCGATTATTGACTCACTTATTTAACGACTTGACCAGACACCTAAGCTTCGGTTAAATTCCCGCCGCCGTAACGTTGCTTTTCATTGCTTTTCAAACTTAACGACCGACATTTTTTACACATCTGGCATCTCACTTAACGACCGACATTTTTAACACATCTGGCATCTCACATAACGACCGACATTTTTAATACATCAGGCATCTCACCTTCCGACACTTTCCCGCCGCCATAACGTTACTTTTCTTTGATTCTCTCAGTTAACGACTCTCATATTTAACAACTTGACCAGGCATCTTAGCTTCTGTCAATTCCCTTCCACTGTAATGTTGCTTTTCTTCGATTTTCTCACTTAACGACACGCTTATTTAACAAATTGACCAGGCCTCTCTACTACGGTCACTTCACTACCGCTGTAAAGTTGCTTTTCTCACATAACGACTCATATATTTAACAACTCGTCAAGGTATCTCAGATTAGTTCACTTTCCCAGCGCCGTAACGTTGCTTCTGTTTCCTTTCCTCACTTAACGATTCACATATTTAATAACATCACAAGACATCTCGGCTTCGGTCATATCCCCACTGCCGTAACTTTGGTTTTCTTTGCTTTTCTCACTTAGTGATTCATATATTTAACGACTTGATCAGACATGTCACCTTCTCTTACTTCCTTTCCACCGTAACGTTGCTTTTTATTGCTTTTCTCACTTAACGACCCACATATTTTACAAACTGATCAGGAATCTCTGCTTTGGTCGCTTACCCACCGCCGTAGCGTTGGTTTTCTTTGCTTTTCTCACTTAATGACTCACTTAATCTCACAAGACATTTCAGCTTTAGTCATATCCCCACCGTCGTAATTTTGTTTTTCTTTGCTTTTCTCACTTAACGACTCACATATTTTACAACTTGACCTGGCATCTCAGCTTTGGTCAATTCCACCCCGCCATAATGTTGCTTTTCTCTGCTTTTCTCACTTAACGACTCACATATTTTACAACTTGACCAGGCATCAGCTTCTGTCAATCCCCCCCCCCGCTGTAATGTTGCTTTTCTCTTCTTTTCTCACTTAACGACTCACATATTTTACAAACTGATCAGGACTCTCTGCTTTGGTCGCTTACCCACCGCCGTAGCGTTGGTTTTCTTTGATTTTCTCACTTAATGACTCACTTAATCTCACAAGACATTACAGCTTTAGTCATATCCTGACATTATCACCTTGCCTAGGATGAATGTCAATAAACATTCGTTGTCACTTTCGTAATGCTCGTTGTAGTAGAGACTTTGTAATCGCAGATACAACTATAGTAAAACGATAGTAATGCCGTTCAACAATACTGATGTCAGAAGCCTTCGAATAACACTCGCACGAATAGTACTTGGTCGATAATGCTCGCTTGAATAGTAACCTCAGAATAGTGATTCGAAATGAGAAATAGTATAGTGAATAGAGTAGAGAATAGCGGTCCATATAGTAATAGAGGATAGAATAGAAATGGCGATAATTGTAGTAATAGACGATAGAATAGAAATGGCGATCCGTATAGTAATAGAGAATAGAATAGAAATGGTGATCCTTGTAATAATAGAGGATAGAATAGAAATGGTGATCCTTGTAATAATAGAGGATAGAATAGAAATGGTGATCCGTATAGTAATAGAGGATAGAATAGAAATGGTGATCCGTATAGTAATAGAGGATAGAATAGAAATGGTGATCCTTGTAATAATAGAGGATAGAATAAAATGGTGATCCGTATAGTAATAGAGGATAGAATAGAAATGGTGATCCTTGTAATAGAATAGAAATGGTGATCTTGTAATAATAGTAGAATAGAATGGGTGATCCGTATAGTAATAGAGGATAGAATAGAAATGGTGATCCTTGTAATAATAGAGGATAGAATAGAAATGGTGATCCTTGTAATAATAGAGGATAGAATAGAAATAGAGGATAGAATAGAAATGGTGATCCGTATAGTAATAGAGAATAGAATAGAAATGGTGATCCTTGTAATAATAGAGGATAGAATAGAAATGGTGATCCGTATAGTAATAGAGGATAGAATAGAAATGGTGATCCGTATAGTAATAGAGGATAGAATAGAAATGGTGATCCGTATAGTAATAGAGGATAGAATAGAAATGGTGATCCGTATAGTAATAGAGGATAGAATAGAAATGGTCATCTGTATAGTAATAGAGAATAGAATAGAAATGGTGATCCATATAGTAATAGAGGATAGAATAGAAATGGTGATCCATATAGTAATAGAGGATAGAATAGAAATGGTCATCAGTATAGTAATAGAGAATAGAATAGAAATGGTCATCAGTATAGTAATAGAGAATAGAATAGAAATGGTCATCCGTATAGTAATAGAGGATAGAATAGAAATGGTGATCCGTATAGTAATAGAGGATAGAATAGAAATGGTGATCCGTATAGTAATAGGGATAGAATAGAAATGGATCCGTATAGTAATAGAAGATAGAATAGAAATGGTGATCCGTATAGTAATAGAGGATAGAATAGAAATGGTGATCCGTATAGTAATAGAGGATAGAATAGAAATGGTGATCCATATAGTAATAGAGGATAGAATAGAAATGGTGATCCGTATAGTAATAGAGGATAGAATAGAAATGGTGATCCATATAGTAATAGAGGATAGAATAGAAATGGTGATCCTTGTAATAATAGAGGATAGAATAGAAATGGTGATCCATATAGTAATAGAGGATAGAATAGAAATGGTGATCCGTATAGTAATAGAGGATAGAATAGAAATGGTGATCCATATAGTAATAGAGGATAGAATAGAAATGGTGATCCGTATAGTAATAGAGGATAGAATAGAAATGGTCATCTGTATAGTAATAGAGGATAGAATAGAAATGGTGCTCCATATAGTAATAGGATAGAATAGTGATCCGT